GCCCCAGTGGTAGAGACGGTGATTGCACGAGCTCGGGTATAGTTTATCTGATCTCCTGTAAGACGTGTGGTGACGAATACATTGGCGAAACGGGTAGACCCCTCTGTGTCCGCATGAAAGAACACCTAGCCGGCAAAAATAGACCAAATACCCCGCTAGGCACGCATAGGACCCAGAGACATAACGGGGACGACTTCGAAGTATGTGTCACGATCCTCGCACGCGAATCAAGAACACAGGCGCGAAAAACTCTCGAGGCACTCTGGATTAATTCCAGAAATCCGAAAATGAACCGCAGGGAAGAATGCCTCATTATCACGCGTGATATAGGGCAGTATATAAAACTGCTTTTCTGATGTGAGGGGCACATTATACTTCCACGTGATTTCTGTGCGGTTGGTCTCTACGTGGCATACTTAGTGGAAACCTCATAGAAAGCGGTGAGTGTGCAAAGCTGTGTTCAAAGTGATTGAAATCTTGGTTTGGGGTTTCTTTGTTTGGTTATGGAGGCGTCTGGCCGAGTGAGTTGCTATCAACTTGACCTTCCCAGGCTCTGAGGAAGGCGAAATCCGCCGAAACGTCAGCTTAATCGTGAACAAAGAATAGTAACACCTCGCGTTTGCTCAACAAAAATACGAAGAAAATCACTTGATCAATGCCGAGGTTAATAGAAAGTCGGTCGTGGCAGTGATTTCTGTTCATGTTTCAATCAAATTCTTCGCAATGAAGATCTACCAAAGATATCTCAGTAAATTCAATAGTGTTAACGACAAAGGTGATGGAGTTCTTGACAATGAAAATTCTGAGTTCTGAAAGTTAAAGGATCGTGATGGTTTTGGTTTAGTTGAGCTTGTGCAATGATCCTATTTTAATACTCTGCCAAGGCGTCGTTTTCTTGTTCAGCAATCGCGAGGTTGTTAAACAGTATACATTTACTTCCATAGAGAAACACAATACAATACGACAGTAGCTGACGTTTCGACAGTATCGCCTTCTTCAGAGCCTGGAAGGGTATGCTGATATACAATCTACTGGGCCAAACGCTTAAATAACGCTTACAAAAAGCCTTACAACTATAATCAGCTGTTTAACGTTTTGTTTTCTGCCTTCTATAATTTTCATGGCAGTTTACTAAGCGAAATACAAAAAAAAAACTACAGCCATAGCTTAACTGGGTTCTATGCCGATTTGCGCTCCCAGATCAACCCCGCTGACGGGTGATTGCTGTGGCTATCTCAGCAACGTTGTGGTTGTATAAAGCTGATTCTCCAAGTAATCGTGCAACAACGGTTCCAAATGAGCAATCATCTTTTCAAACTATTCCTATCTACTACGTATTTTCACGTGCGGAATCTATTCACTTCTCTTTGCAATCATGGAGATAGGCGAGATAAAGTGTTCCCGTGTGGATTGGAGAAGAACGTTGCTAAGGGGATCAAACTAGCACTTTGCTTCTTTATGGACTGCATAACTAACCACTACACGAACCCCACCCCCGAGTTCCCACGAGGAGATTGTTCTCTGTTATTTTTGAAATTTCGAGGTGATATTTTATTCTGAATTCCTGCCTGTAGACAACTCTGTGACGATGGGCGACTGTGCTGGTGAAATTTATACCTCGTTCAGTTTGTTTACGAATGCAGTTCCAAATGTGGCTATATTCCCCTTTCTCTTGATAGCGCTTCTCCACAGACTTTGAAGAATGCGATTCCAGAACTTGAGTGAGAATTTTCGCCCTATCAGTCGTATGCGTTATGCTGGTCTTCTTTCAATTATCATTTTTTCACTTCCTAAGGAATTGCTTTGGAATAAGGGAGAGGCCTGGGGTTTACCAATTTGGAGAAACTCAGAAATGTCACATACCCTTTTTATTTCATGATCTCGAAATTTCTAAGCAGAGGGCGTCGAGCAAGTAGACACGATTTGTGTTAGGAGATAAATATTGGGGCTAATTATTGCTGTGTCTCTACAAAGTTGCAAAGTGGAAAAGTTGCTCAGATTCTTCACAAAATCCAACAATATATACTTCGGAAATAATTTTCTACATGATTGAGCTGACACGAGGTTGGTATAAAACCTTTATTCAGCAAACATATCGGCGTTCTCGCCTTGCACAGAGCACCGCTGATCCAAGTCGATGGTGTCGCTATGTTGTGTTCGTGTCGCATCGAGTCGAATCCACCGGGAAAGCACCGTTTGAATGGGGAATTTCACTCATTGGTGCCCTTTTACACAGGACGTTGATTGCCACCATCCAATATAATTTGATTTCTTGGCCAGAAGTGCGTCCTGTAGCAGTCTGTACTTCATTTGCTGGGACCGCCGAAATAGTCCCCTCCACTGATTTCAACTCAAGGCGACAACGAACACCTACGTCGCAACAACGAACAGGTGTGGAACATTGACTTGGATTATCACTGTCCTACGGAAGGCGGAGACGCCGAAACGTTAGCCGAATAAAATTTTATTGTTAACCTCGTGCCAGCTCAGTCATGTAAAAAATTACTGCTTATTGTTACCGAGGCTTAATGAAAGTCGGTTTTAAGATGCTTAGAATGTTTTAAAGCTTTATGCCACTTTTTAGGTAGCGCTATTATTGTAATACCTTTGACTGTGTTTCAACAAAAAGTGAAAGTTTAGACTCTGGGAATATCCGAAATTTTGGTTTGTTTCTGATTTTAACTTTGAGAAGTCGTGAGTCTTGCATAAAAATGAATGTAATCAAATGCTCAAAAGACCGACTTTCTATAAACCTAGGCATAAATGCTCGACATACTTATGTGTCTTTACAAACTACCCTTGCTGAGCTGATGGGAGGTTGGTAAAAGTTGTCGTCGTCGTCATCGTCGTCATAGTTGTTGTTGTTGTTGCTGTTGTTATTCAATGGCTGACGATACGGCGATTTCGCCTTCCTCGGAGCCGTGGTGTTTCCGAGTGGAACTCTAAATCCACAGCACAAGGGCAGCTTGTAAAAACATATAGAGCAATTAAATGAATATAAGTCTTGTTCATAATAGATCCTAAAATTTCTTCGCTCTTCGAAACTTAGGTTTTATTTGATTGGAGGAAGAAGAATTGTAAGCAGCAAAGGTGGAGATTACTTCTTCTAGAGCATTCTGGCAGCTGGGTCAATTATGCAAGCTCATGGAGATCACGAAGTGGCACTGAACAAGTACAGGTACGAAGCTCTTCACTGAAGTTTCAAGATTGTTCTAAGTGTTTCTTATTTGTGCTTGAATTGAAAAATTTGAAGTAGGTATTAAATCAGTTGGACTTAAAAGTTCATTGATGTCGAGTTGTTTTGTTTTTTCTTCAACTCTCTCGGACACGACAACAGTGATGCTGAGATATGAGCGGAACGAACCCGTGATCACGCTTTCTTGAAGACTCACGTAATGCGCCACTGCACCATCGAGCTCCTTGCTCTGCCATTCTCTCGGCCAGTTTTCTACACTATCTTGAACACGGATAAGAATGGTGCTGTTATTTCTTTTCGAGTTACTGAAATGAAAATGGTACTGGTTATTTGCGAATCCATGTACCTCGTCCTCTTGTAGCGGAATAAAAGTAACTTTCCTAGTGTTAAGTAGACATTCCTTCGTGGGCGGTATGGTAAAGTAAAAAGCTTGCACTCGATCCACTTCAAAGCACTTGTTATGTGGTTTTAGGTCGCTTATAGCAAATTGTATTCAACTTAGAGTGGGGAGAATGAACTTTTCCCAGGCACGTCTGGTACCAATTTCCCGACCTCGAAAAGATACACGACTTGGTGAGACTGAGGCTACGTCGGAGCATTACCATCCTCATGATTATCCAAATCACTACTACTGCCGTATCCGCTTAATATTTGCAAAAATTGGGAATAATATTGACATAATTGGTAATTTTCTACATTATTGAACTATCACGAGGTTGGTAGAAAACTTTTATTCGTCTAACGTTTCGGCCCCTACGCCATTCTCAGACCCGCGTTGACCAGAGTCGATGGGCCCGTGCTAGTAGTTATTGCGATGAGGGTGTTTGTTGTCGCATCGAATCAAATCCACTGGAGGGAGGTCGCACCACTCGAATCGGGAACTTCCCATGACGGTGCCCTTTTTTAGCGGATGGATGTTGGTTAATTTCCGGCCATCAATTTCATCTGCAAATTTCGGGCGAAATAGACATATTTCCACTTGCATGCAATACGCAGCATTAGGAAGTTTGCGCATGGAAGGAAAACTGGAACGTGAGTATCGAAAAGACCGTCGAAAATCAAGGAGAACTAAGTTGACTTGGTGTACCTTCAATTGAAGAGTTCTACACCATAAACAGTTATTTGAGTACTTCATAATACCGACAAAATGAACAATTTTCAATCTTTATCAAACAAGATGCGGAAACAATAGAGTTCATTATGCAGAACTCCACTATGAATCGAGATTAAGGTGCACCTATTGAAAAGTTACAGTAGTGGAGGAACTCGCTCTTAAACACATTCCTCAATCTAAGTATGGTTATGAGTTTCTGCTAATTCGAACCCTTCAATACCCATTTTAGTATGTCTGCAGAAGAATCGGTGTCGGCCGACCAACAAAGCTGACGAGTGATCTGTTCTGTATGGGAGTTAACAGTGTCACCATTTAAAATTACATTGTCTATTAGGACTCTGAATCAAGGGTACCCTACAAAAGAACTTAAGAAAGACTAAAAAAATACTTCTAGAGGTTTTACCGTTGTTTTCACGGCACCATAACATTTTGGTAAGTGAAGTGAGCACGGCAAAATATCAAAGGAGAAACCTAAATACTATCGTTGTTCGTTGTATTTTTGCGGTTAGAACTAGGTTACTGTTCTACATCTCTGCAAAAAACTAGCGAAATTTTTTAAAAATGTTGTAGTGGTTCACAAAGGTTTATCGCCTCACTGTGGCTGGGTGGTTTTCCTGGGTGTCTGGCTGTACAGTGGAGAATTCATCCCCCTGGTAGGGTCTCTCAAGCTGAGAAAGAGTGCGGCGTTTCCATGGGCCTAACTAAGAGTAAACCAATACCAGGATCCACCACCGTCTTGGTATCAAACTAGTCGCATGGTGGCAAATTTCCCTCTAATCCACAAAGGCTACGACTGCCTGTGGTGGTGACGACCCGCGGCAGATTTTGGCCAGGCTGGTATCGAGACTCCAGGAAAACAATATCTAAATCAGCAAATCACTGGAGAATGGAAATTATGCTGGGGCCCGCACGACCAGTGAAGACGGGCCATCGAAGTATCCAAGTATCCAAGTAAGTAGTGGTTCCAGCCATACCCTTAAATACTTGATAATGGGTACTAGGATTTTGTACACTAATATTCTGCTCTCAGACGTTCTCAGACCTACACCACACGGGCTTGCCCCATCCCGGTAGATAGTGAGGAGTATAGATACCTTCCAACGTGTCTTCCAGGGACGCGACGATTTCTTCAATTGGTCTACTCTTAGCTTACCTTCTAGTTTGAAATATCCAACTCTTCAGCTGAATAGCTCTGTTAACAGGAAAATCTTCCATTATAAGTAGGTAAGTTTCAACCGGAGAGTACAGCTACGATCAGTCGGTAAACCATTAGGAAGTGCGTTGAAACATAAATACACAACAAATACAGGTGAATTGTAATCGGAATAGCTATTTCAGAGTGGCTGTATATGCTTGTGACTACAACGGCTGTCTGTGGAATAACATAGGCGTGTGTCTGTTCGCGAAGGGACGACTGGCTCAAGCACATAGCTGTCTGAAAAAAGCTTTGTTCATCTGCCCACTGGATTACAAGTATGGGTTTTCTGATACTTTTATCGCATTACACAGACGTAGTCTGAAGGACCGATCAGACACTTTTTCGCTCTATAACCTAGCCATGAAATATTCGTAATTGTTGAGTTGTGATATACGATTTTTGTCAGACTTGTTGTAGAATATTGATCACTGATTGGCTAATGGTTACAAGTTGGTCAGAAAGCTCTTTGATTTACACGGTTATTAGGATACTTGAATGATTCGTCCTCACGATCATGCGGAATCAGGGATATTTCCAATTCGTTCTTTTCATTTGAGGCCGTGCTTGTGGCCACGTGGTCCATACATCGCTATGCTGCCGAAATCACATTTACTTCGCCTGAGGTAAAAGCACTTTGAAAGTGGTCGAACGTGATAACACTTGAATCGTCTTGAAGTCTGCTCTACTGTTATCCTTATCCATCTGTTGTCAATCCTTCTCATTAGTGATTGCTCGTACCTATTATTACATGAAAATACTCAAGTGGGGCTAAATGAGGATATCCAACGATCACACTGATAAGCGACGTACAATCATGGAAACACCGTATTGCCGACCAGGACTGTAGGAAGTGGTGACAGGCAATCGAATTTCATGTTTCGTTTCCGAGCAAGAACCCAAGTATTCTGATCAAAGAGGACCGAAATAATGCTTCTCACGTACCACTAAAACGAGGACTTTCTCAACATTTGCTGATATGCTGCTAATCTCGGCTGTTAGCTTTAAGTAGACCCTCTGTGCACACGTAGCTTTCACGGCAATCAACTTTGCTGTAAACAACGCATAAATACAAAAAACATATACTCACGTACGCACAAGTTGTTGAACACGAATTAGATCCAACAAACTTGTCCGCATTCGCCGCATTAGCTTGCCAATGAGAGCATAGTGGGGTACTAAGCGTTTTGTAGTATTATAAACTTGTGCGAAGAACATCTGAAAATTTTACTACCAGCACCAGTTGGAATGAATTCATTGATATACAGCCCGACATGAATGGATGTCCGCTCGTACATGGGTCATGCAGACTTGCATGTGTTTGTTTTGCTTGTAGTTTATTTTGCTGTTCAAAGGATTTTCGGTATTTTTTCATGAGCACCAAGTTACGCATCGGATTCTCGAAAGCAAGGTTTGCCCAATACAAACTAGTCGAACTAGTATTGGATCGTTTCCACAACGAAGACGGTTCGTTATGAAAAAGGGCTTGTGCAACGCTAACAGTTTGTTTTCGGTATTGTTATTGTCTTCAATGTTGTTTAGTTTTACGCTAATCTAAAACAGCAACAATCAGCCTTACAAAAGCAGCAGTCATTGTTTACAAAACCGTCCCCATTTGATAACTTTTTTATTTACTGCCTACTACAATTTTTAATGGCAGAGCATGATGTGAAATACAACTACTATGATGCTGAGATATTTGCAAAACTCCGGATCGCAGGTGTCTGCGGTGGGGAACGAACACGCTTATTACCCTTTCCGGGGGCTAACGCGTTCGCCACCACACCATGCGGGTCCTTCGTTTCGCCTGTCTCTCAGCTAGTTCTATCGATTAGTGCCATCAGTAATCACCAGTGAACGCGTGGTGTGGTGGTGAACGCGTTACTCCCCGGAAAGGATAATAGCGCGTTCGTTCCTCACCGCAGACACCTGCGGCCCGGAGTTTTGCAAATATCTCAGCACCACAGTAGTTGTTCACATTTGCTTTGATTGCCATGTTGATCCTTTGCAATTAAATCTTTTTTGAAATGTATTCCAAAATGAAACCGATTTCATGTGCTTAGAACAATGTTCGAGGCAACATCCGTGTTTGAATGAAGTGCTTAGGTCTGGCGAAAGTGAAGTCCGTATCAAAAAATGTACTTCATTCGCAGAATCAACTATAATCTTGGGCTGGTGCATCATGCAATGGGCTTGCTGTGTTCAGCGTTACATTTTCTAAAAGCGGCTTCTGAACTAAAACGAGACGATGCCCAAATCATTGGAGCAATAGCAGGTAAAAAAAATTATCCTTAGAACGGTAATAACAAAGATAGTAATGCTACTTCAGTTGTGCTCTCGAACATGGGCGATGAAAACAACGCTCGACGTGCCTACCTTAAGTCGATATCTATTGAACCAAAAGCGCAAGTGGTAAGTGCTGCTTATTCTCACTGACACACTGGCATGCTCCTACTGTTTCACGTTCGGTCAAATGATTTAGAAAAGATTAAAAAAACGTGAAGTTGGTCTTGATAACTTCTGCGCATAACTCTCGCTTGTTCAACCTCCGTTCCCCTACCTTGCAAATCTAATACTCATTGGTAATTCAGTGGCATAGTCGTCAGTGAAAGACCGAAGACCTTTGTTTGTCTTAGAATTCGCTGCCCACTGTGCAGATGGAAAAATACTTTTATACGTTTAGCTTCTTGTATCGTTTTGAAGCGATGACTCGCATTATTCGTCATTGTTGCAGAATCACTGCTGTCGTAGAAGAATCTAATTTCAAAGCAGCAAACCTTTCTTCGATCCAGATGGAAAGTCGATGGGTTGCTGAAAACCAGGAAACACTATAGCGCGGCCACTTTGAGTTTCCTCTAGAAATTATGTTCGGATGCTACTAAAAATTTCAGTTTCAATCGTAGCGGAATTCACACAATAATCCACGCACAAACAAAACCAGTGGAAGCAGTGATCTATAGGCACTTAGTGGTGAGGCTAGGTATCGCAAGTTTATGCTGGCACACAGCGGGTTAAACGTACACCAAAAGGGACCACCTACCTACTAGCCTTGAATCTCATGTTGATCTGAGTTGGGTTCCTTTTCGTTGTTGAGCCCGGCTGTTTACTTACATTGATACCTACATCCCTAAGCGTGCTTGCATACATTGCATAAATGGGGATTGTATACTACGAACTTTCAATCCAAGTGATCGGAGAATACGTGGAGATGGTTCGGGGTCACTTCCAATAAATAACAGCTTCTAACAAATTCTATTCGTGGAGATACTTGTGCACCATCGGAAACTGTCTTTCGTTAGAAGCACCAAAAGTAACGCCATTCGAAAACGGTCACTTTCTTATTATCTCAGTAAGCCAACAGTGCTCGTTGAACAGCTTTGGCTCATATAAAGAACGAATGAATGCGGAGTGTACTGTAACCGCTCAGGTGATAGAATTAAAGGAGTGGTAGGTGCGTTAGCCAATTCGAGTCGCTACCGTGGAGTGCTATGACTATAGTTTAAATCCCTCAAACTACTTCTAAGTTGGATCTTAGGGCCTTGTGTTGCTGTAGAAAGTTCTTTTCAGATCTTGAACTACGCGATTTTCGAATTCGATCATAACAACGAGGATATGGCACGTGATGCCCTGACGCACTTCAAGCCAGTATGGAACGCTGGAGGGTGTAGAAAGGTGGGAGGCCAGATACTGTATTCACTCGATTTTTATTTTGCAGAAACTTCCACAAAAACTAAAGTGGTTCTCTTCTTCTTATCGCTTCTTCATCTTATCCAAACTTTTTTTTTCAACTTTGAAGTTATTTGAATTTAAATTAACCATACTTTCTTTCCAGGACTTATCGCAGAAATTTGATCAGCTTCATGACGCGTTATTGTCGTCAGCACAAGGCAACAAAGAAGGCTCTTCTTAAAGAAAATAGAGGCAGGTCTTTATGAAATATTTTATTTTCAATGACGTTAAGTACGTCAGACAATCTTTAAAGCAGGAAGTAAGAATAAATGTCAGGAACGTGGAATCCAGAAATTCGGAGGAAATGAACAGTGTTTGGAATTAAAATTGAACTTGTCGTATCATATCTTAAATCGATTAGATATATATTGAGCAGAATATGGCGTTTCTTCCTATTCAGCAACGTCTTCTTTCATCTGAAGCACTAGTACATCGTAAAGTAAGGAATGAAGGTAGTGGCAGATAAGAATGACAAGATGCTTTCGCTTTGCATGGGATGTAGTAACTATTCCTTAAATAGTTCCTATTTTCTACAATATCACATATGTCCTATATTAACTATTTACTTATAACTATCTTAAATCTATCCATTCATAATGTATAAGTTTTTATATCACTTCGACATGTAGTTTCGATAAAATGCTCTAGCATACCGCCTCATTTGATGTACTTCTCCACAGGTACCGTGTCATGACCTGGGTCAGCACTGTCTCTGACTCCCTCTGTCTCTGTGAAGCCCACGTTATTCCATCTCATTCACGTGGCCTTCTGATAAGTCTCTGCTGTAGCCTTCGGATAACCTTTATCCGCGAGCTATTCAATGCTCCACCCACTACAGAAGTAATACAGGCAGCCCATGGGCATTCGTCTTCAAGTGTTCGCAGCGTTCGTTCGGTCTTCATCCAGTCCCTCGGTTCCTCAGTGCTCTGTCTCTAGTGTCCGCCTAGTTTCCTTCAGTTGCATCACTTCTCATTTCAATCTCGCTCGTATATATCTAGTTAACCACACATCGTCACATATTACTTATTATTATTGTACTGTTGTTATTGCTATAAATTGTTATAACCCAAACTCGAGGTTGTCCACGGCAGTTACGGAAAAAAAGTCCCGCGTGGCGAATTCATACAAAGTCGAGCATTCCACGACAGTTGGCGGACAAAAGACAAATCCGACCAACTCCCTAATCCATTGGCCAACTATCCCATGGGAGTACCTCAGGGAGTGGCAACGTTCCACGTTGCTGCCGTCGAGTAGAACAGAAACGAGAACCCAATGTGTATTGCTACTTGTTAGTAAGGAGTAGTACAGTTCTGTAGTCAATGAGCAACATTTTGTTTTGCCACAAGGAAGGTAGGCAACATAGCGCAGCGCTGGCTTCCAACATGAAAATACTGGTGTTCGGATAATTTTTTAATTCACTGGTGACAGTGAACTAACAATTGAAAAGTAAGCGCTGTCCGAAATCAGTCTAGCATTCAAAATTGAAGCCTTGTCATTTACCACTAGTGGTATCGCCAGACGCGCAAGTATATCTTGCTGGGGGTAAATACGAATGAGATTAGGATATATCATTAACTTCATACTAAGGCTCAAAGTGTCGCATTTCGTGCACAAGCACAGATGAATGAAGGTGTGACTGACTTTTCACGTTCGTAAATCAAAATATACAGGAAGAATCACATTGACGAGAATGATATAATACCTGAAAATGGATACTTCACTTATTTTGAGCACTAGCCCTGATTGGTAAACTAACGTTATTATAAAAATAATTGCTATGATAGCGTCGCGCAAAGTTGTGGGATCCGATTTCTGTTTTTCACGCATTCCCTTCACCGGAATGGGGTGACCCGGAACCCACTGCGAGAGACATCCGTTTATCTGGAATTAACGATCGACTTCAATTTATTCCATTCAACATTGTAGGAAGTCGTCAACGACGGTATTCTACAGAAGCACTCTCACCTTGGTGAACGCCACGGGGCATTTGAGTGTGTGCGTACTGAATAACGCGAAATTGTCGGCGCCATGAGACAAATGCATCTTGTTCACGTCGATTTTACCCTTTTTGAGTGGTTGTTTTATAAACAAAGTCTTCTAAAAAAATATGGTTTCTCTGAAAAATCTCGAACATTGTTGCGTGATGCAGATTGGTAAACTAAAGGCATAAAAATATCAACGCGAATGATGGCGAAGGTGCTTGGGTAGCGTCCACTTATTGCGAACCGAACAGTATTGGGATATTGTTTGCTGTAACAAGATGAGTTGATTCCTCCCGCTCATTAACGCCATGAACCACTTAGTTGTCAGTTCAATACAAAATGATACAATACAACCGCATGATTGCTGAGATTTGAGCAAAAGTCGTAACCTCAGCACGGCTTCCAGGCTTCCAACAAGCGATTAAGAGTGGTCTAAGAAACGGCCTGTGTTGATGTGGTAAGATAGCACGTGAGCGCACAGTAAGGGTAATATTGGGTTCGAAGCTCACCTGAGATTCCAGGTTTTGATCATATTTTAGCATCCTCGTGGTTGTATTTCACAAAATACCTCGAGAAATTGGTACCGGATTTGTCTGGGAAGAAATCACTCCCTGCAATCCAGTTGGGAACACTCCAGCCGGGCTATCTCAAGACTCCAGGGAGAATTGCTCGACCAGCATTCTACGACATTCAAGATGAAATGAAAATCCGCAAGCAATAGCCGAGGTTACACTTAAAACTTGGAAGATCTTCGTGTATAGCGGATGCGAGGAAACCAATCGAATGTGGGAAGTCCACACAGCAGACGTGAAGATGGATCATATATTATGCGCATACCAGAATTTGTTTCATTCGATCCGTTCCCTCACATCCATCGTCCACGAGTATCTCCCAATTAGCATATGAGCTTAGCTGCCGCTTGCTGATTGTTGTTTTGCCTCATAGGTGTCGTCGATCTCTTTGAACTCCTAGGATAGTTGTTCCTTGGCGTTCCCAAGCCTTTACTGCAGCCAGTCATCAGCCCTTTTGGATTGGAGGAAGCTCCAAGTTTGCTACCAGTTTACCAACACCTGAGGGATGGAAGGCTTCCACGGTCCTGTGCAGAATCGAACAACGACGTTGCATTTACTGAGGATATCTCTTACCACTGTGCTGAAGCTATGAGCTAAAATTACATAATGTTTCCAAAGCCATACTTAGTGAAAACATACTGATGAAGGAAGAGCACCACTGCAACCGTGATCCTTCTACACACTGCGAACACGTCTGCATTTCCACATAGATTCATCATCTTATCGTGTCCGCAAATTGTCCCAGGTCGCCAATTCGCGATGCAAGTTCAGCAGATGAGCCACTACTCCATGCAGGCTTCACTACAGACGAATAAACTCGTTCATAGGTCTTTCGAAAACACTTATGGGTAGAGTGGACCTTCTCTCTGTTAACGTCTGCCACAGCGTTTCTTATGTATCAAATGATTATGGAGGGGTTAGTAAAAGCGTTCTGCCCTAAAACAAATGGTTCAAAAGAACATGAATGGTATATGAATTATTGGATCGCCAATCTGTAGATGAAAAGATGATCAACACCTGCCGACGATGGAAATCTTTAAAAGAACAAAGACACTAAATTCAGGTTAGGTTAGGCTTAATAGCTGGAGATTTAGGATATTTGATTAATCAAGCTGGGCCCTTTGTCAATGAATCAGTCAATAATTGATAATAA